AGGGATGTTCATAATAGACCAGCCAGCTGGGGATGGAGCCAGGCAGGGCTGAGGCTTGCGGGTGGGGGGACTTCCCTAGCTAAGGGGCCAGCTGCCTGTGTGGGGTGCAGACAGCAGCTCTTATACCTGAGGGAGGGGATGTGATGTGCTTTATGACACTCAGTAAGGAAGGTGTTGTGAATACTGGGGAGCAGACACCCCACACCCCATCACAGTCCCCCATGGGAAGGTCAAGAGATGCCTGACATTAGTGCATACACAGGGACAGGCACCCACCCACCCTGCCCACACCCCGCTCGGCCCTGCCTGGATGTTGGTCCGCAGCTGCTGATGACCAGCAGGGCTCTGTGCACCCCCTCCACAGAATGAGATGTTTAATGTGTGGCCGCCATGGCGAGCTGACCGCACAGGTGGCTCTGCCAGCCCAGAAGGCTGAGGGTGGGAGCAAGGCAGGGTACCCCCCAAAGCACTCCCATTGCACATACGCCACTGAAAGGAAGGGTGAGAGCAGCTGTCATGCTGGTCCACCCTTTAATGAGGCCCAGGCACCGGAAGCATGCCTCTGTGCACTCATGGTGGGAAGTACCACCGCTGGACAGATGAGACGGACATCTCTGGAGGGACCCTGGGCCAGTCTGATAGGCTCCCCACGCCCTGCCAGCCGAGGGGGGCCCTCTGAGGGAGATGGGCCTTCATACACCCTCTTGAATTCCTGGGGCGGGGGTGACACATGGTGGCCTGGGAGTCACGCAAGCAGTGAGAGCTCATCGTGCATGAGAGTGCAGTCACAGGTCCCGCAGGACGCTCTGGGCCTCCTTCCTGCCCCACCCCCCTTGGGGACATGCGGCTCCAGCCTTGGCAAGAGCAGGGACTCCTGGGAACCGTGCGTTTCTTCTTCCGTTGGTGGCAGGAAGGGGGTGAGGCCGAGCTGGCAGAAACTTGTCCATCTCTCTCCGTGGGCTTTGGTTCCCCTTCTTGCCCACATTGCCCCCAAGCCACAGCACCCCCACAGACCTGGTCAAGCCAAGGGACCTGAGGTCAGAGGTCTTCAACTAGGGTCAAGCTATCTGCTTGTCTGTCGACCATGGAGACTTGAAATCTATGTCTGTCAACAACCAACTGTACAGCTGTGAGCGTGTGCACAGGGAGGCCCACCCCACAATGAGGGCAGGGGTTGACTGCACATCAGGAAGCCAGGGTCAGGCAGTCCACCCAGGTGCTGACGAAGGTGGGGCTCAGGACCCTCACGGTGGCAAGCCCAGGGATTCCTGAGTGTCCAGCTATGGTAGCTACATAATCTGATGTCAACTTGAGACTATGAAGGGGTGGAGTTTAGCCTGTCAATTGAGTTGCAGCTTGATGACCTCATTTGGAGGCATTATAAAGATAAACAGCTCACTGGAGGCCAGTCCCATACTCTCTGCTACACGTTCCTGTTGACAAGCCACATGGAGCTACGCTGATGGACCCAGAGGCCTAGAGCTGGAGGAGCCACATGGAGACCCACGCCAGTGCTGAGATGCTTCCACTACTACTGGATCCACAAGATTTTCCACCCACTGGCTTGTGATCTCCCTGCATTCAGCATCATTGCATGACTGCGTGAGTTCAAAGAGGAATTTATGCACTAGTATTGACATATGGGCTAATATCAGACTTATGGGCTTGATCTGGACTGGGCTGGGATGTTTTCTCAATATATAATTACCCTTTGTTATAAAGTTCTCTTGACACATCTGAGTGTCCCTGGACTTGTTTCTCTAGTCTGCTCAGACCAGCACGCCAGCCCTGCAGGAAGGAACAGCCAGGCACAGCAAAATATGTTCATCTGGGGAAGGGGAGGCCTCAGACACAGAGAGTACTAAGAATCTCAAAGGCCCCACTAGTTGGTCCTTCTGTGTCTCCTCATTTTTAATGCGGTTTCACTTTGACAGAGACTTGCACTCTGGTGCCTGTGTCTTTTCTCAGAATGTGTCCTCCCTCGATGGAAGCAGGCACAGGCATTCGGCTCTGCCCAGTATGCTGGTGTGTGTGTGTGTGTGTGTGTGTGTGTGTGCGTGTGCGCGTGCACGTGCGTGCAGTGGCACAGTCTCAGGAGCGTGTTGGCCTGGACCTCCGTCTGAGACGTGCTCTGGTGGGGGGTTGCCCCACAGAGAGGGCAGGGAATCGTCCAGAGGCTGGCTCTATGGCAGACCACTCCTCAAAGGTAAACCATGACCTCAAGAGGCCTGCAGGCACTTCCAGATGGGAGAGCGTGTGCCCGGTGGCCCCGTGTGGCCACACGATGTGTCTAGGGCTTCCTGGAGGGCCGGCTCTGTACCCACTTTCGCCACACCTTAGTGCCCTGGGCACTGCCCCTGAGGACCACCTGGTCGGCCCCCAGCAAGGGCCAAGCCAACTTGAGACCCTTGCAGGCTTCCCTCACAAGCACAGGACTGGACCGGGGGCCCTGCTGGGCCCATAGGATGGTGGGGTGCCGTTCTCAGCATGTGCATCTCTGGGGGCAGAGCTGAGCTCGGGCAGAGAAAGGGAGTCCTGTGGTGGCGTCACCTTTGGCAACGCCTGGTCCCCAGGGAAGAGCTGAAATCCTCTGTGGGTCCGCACACTGCGAGGCGACAATGAGTCCATGGACGGGGTTTAAACGGGTTTATTTGCAGGACCTGGTACATTCCAGCAGCACATGGTATGTCCTGGAGAAGAATGGCCGGCCGACCAGAGCTGACAGAAAACAGCCCAGCGGGGCATCTGCCCAGCTCGCATAGACATGCTTACAGCCGTGAGCAAGGAGTCGCATGCACAGAGCCGCAGTGCCCACTGGAGAGCCCCGCCGTGTGGCTGAAGAGAGAAGCCCTAGGCATGCGCCGGTCAGCACTGCCTGTTCCTTAGGCCCTCGGTCTGCCCTCCCCATGTCTGCAGAGCCGCCGCAGAGGGCAGCACACATGTGCCAGAGCACCACAGGGAGCACCCGGTTCTGCCTTGCCAACACAGCCGAGCAGGCCCGAGGAACGTCTGCCACAAAGCCCGCTGGGAGGATGTAGCTGAAGCTGGGCATGGAGTCCCCCTCCTCACCCACTTGCTGCTCTGCTTAAGAGTGTGGCTATCTGGGCAGACCGCAGTTACTGCGGGCCATGGATGTTCCTGCCTGTGGTCTATGATGGGGCAGGTGTCTGGTCAGGGGAAGACCAGGCTAGGCCACTTCTCGGGCAAAGAGTGGGTGCAAGCTTGGGGTGGGGGAGAAGTGGTGGGCAGTGACGCTGAGACAGTGGCCACCACCAGGGGCCCAGAGCAGCTCGAGATGGGCGGTACCCAGTTACACGGGTACCGTGCCACAGCTGCCCACTCTGGACAGTGAGGAGACAAGTGGAAGGGGACTGGGAGAGGCACCAATTGGGAGCACAGGCCGCCGAGGGCAGGGCAGGCATGCATGGAGTTAGAACTGTGAAGGGTGGCGGGGAGGCCTGTGACTGGATCCTGGGTGCCAGCTTCAGGGGTGGGGGCCTGGGCCCAGCCTTAGTCAGTCTCCTGTGACCCTTCTGGGGCAGGACTCCTTGGCCGAGAGCAGGGGGTGCGTCCCGCCCTCCAAGGCACCCACGCCCATGCCGAGTGCAGCCGTGTGGCATGAGCACCCTTGCAGCCGGAGAAGCAAAATGCCAAGTGAACTGGGCCAGGAGTGCGTGTGCGCGGTGTTGTCTAAACGGCGTTAGAAAGTGGCTTCTCTGTGAGGCCTGGGATTCTTGGAGACGCTCTGCTCTGGGTCAGCCATGCCTGACGTCCGGTGAGAGCTGTCATCAGACTTTCCGTCTGGGTCACCAAGGTCCCGAAGGGTCAGCACCCAGCTCTGGCCTCGCTCGCTGAGTGTGCACGTGCAGCCCCTGAAGAGCCAAGTGCCTGGATGCCTGGGCCCCACAGGCCTTCCCGGTGTTGGCTTGGCGGTTCTAAGTGCCGGCCCCATAGAGCTGTCACCAGCTCTCCTCACCCACCAGCTGGCCCAGAAGAACACTTCTTACTGGGCTCCCAAATTCCTGCTTTGTTTTTTCCAAAAAGAACAACCTGGCTGCTGTTGCCTGTTTGTTGGGGACACGGTGCAGCCTGTGAGGGGGCGCTGGGAGGCAGGGCCCGCCTGTGAGCTGGGCCAATCTCCGCCTTCGATAGGGCGAGGTCCAGCTCTTTCTCAACCGCCCCTTTTGGGGGTGCTGATGACCTGGGTGGGCGCCTGGGGCAGGTTCCTGCGGGTCCTGGCTGGCTGTGACAGGCTGCCCGAGTCCCCCTCTGGAAGCACACGACCCCTCCGTCTGGGGGGGAAAGGCACCACCAGAAGGAGGCAGCCGGAACCCTCCGGTCTCGGAACGCTCCAGTCTCGGGGATGCAGGTGGGTGGTGTGCTGGGGAACGCTGCAGCTGGCCGCTGAGGGGCTTGGGGAACCACACAGTCCCGTTTCGGTTGTTTGAGGAGACAGCCTGACGCTACCGCTTCTGGAAAGGTAGGAAGCCAGGGTCGGGCTTTTCCTCAAGGCGACAGGTGGGGGCACTCTCAGGAGGAGCTTCGGGGGACCCGGGGAGCTGCTCCGGAAGCTCCTGTCCTGAGGAGGGAGGTTGCTCCGTCAGCGGGCACCAGGCCTGTCAGCCTTGCAGACGTCTCTGGGGCCTTAGAGCCCTGGGGTCTCAGCCGACAGCACAGTTCCTTCAGAGGCCCCGGGTCAGCACACCCGCCCGTGCCTGAGGCTGGCCAGGGCAGGCGTCTCTGTTGCTACACATTTGCAAGCCATCGGCCATGGGGTCCGGGTGGCCCGTGTTAGCCCCGTGCCCTGCTGGACTAGGCCCGCGGGCAGGGCGTCAAAGGCATCACCGTCTGGGGGGAAAGCTAACAAGGTAGGGCACCTGTTCCACAGCCAGAACAGGCATGTGATTCTACAGCCACCTGGCGCAAGCGGCTCCACATGGGTCAGAACAAGCAGCCCAGCCTCTCGTGGTCGGCGCTTAAGGTCAGAAAGACAGCGTTACCGTGAGCGGGCAGGTAGGTGAAGTGCTGGTACTGGCTTCTCTTCCTCTTGCCGTTGCAGACGTAGAAGCTGACCTGCACGGGGCTGGTGATCCTCTGGTTGCGGAAAGGCGGGATCTCCACCACCAGTGAGTTCTGGGGAGGGGACAGCAGCGTGTCACCAGGGGGCGGGCCTCACACATCTACCAATCAGGCGTGAGGATGTGTACACCGGACGGACAGACACTGACCCCCCACCCACACCAGCACATGGGGGCAGGGGTGTGCCCAGGTTAGGGTCAGAGGCCACAGCCCCTGCATCTGCTGAGCTGTGTCAGGCTGCCACAGGGCCTGCCCTGGGCCCACCTACCCTATCACTGGCTGGCACAGTGGTGACCAGTTAGGCACCCACCATGGCACCCATCTCCGGCAGACCTGATCGGACTCATTTGAAGCATCCCTGCCTAGCCTTCTGAGGAAATCTCTAGAAAGTGGCCAACACACACCAGTCTCAGATTCCCCAAATCAGACCCGCTGGAGGAAGTGAGGAGCCCTGAGGCAGGCCTTTTGGAACGAGACCTTCTGGGGGACACGCACAGAGTGAGCAGATGTGGGTGGCAGGCCTGCCTGGCGACTGTGGAGAGACCAGCATTTATGAGTGGTTAGGAAAGGGAGTCCCACGAGATGTTCTAACACACGTCCGGGCCTGCCACTGCTTCATACCAAACAATGCCTACTTGCTTTTCCCAGCTGGGTCACAAAGAGTCGAAGCAATGAAGACAAAACAGAACCAACCCAGCCAAACAGCCGAGTGCTGTGGCTACAAGAAATGCCCGCGGCTGGGTCCCCCTGCTCGGTTTACAGGGGACCTGTCTCCTGTCTGTGATGCCTGGGCCGGGTGAGGGTCTTTGCCTGGAGTCCATGGGGGTCCCTGCAGGGAGGGCCGCATGGGTCTCAGCAAAGCCCCCATGGGAGCACTGGCCACATCCCTGCAGCTGGGACCCAAGAAAGCCCAGGAGTCACTTTCCACACCGAGGGGAGGAGGGCAGGGGGAGTGTGCCCGAGGGGGGGTGGGGAAGGGGAAGATGATGGGGGAGGAAGTGCTGAGGAGAAAGGGCACTGAGAGGGGCTGTGGAGAGGGAGGTCAGGGCCTCAGGCCCCGGTGTGGGCAGGGTGCCCTAGCAGCCTACACGAAGAGGCTGGAAACCCAGTCAGTTCCCCGCCTCCCCTCCCGGGCTTCTTCCTGTTCACATGGTTCCAATGGTCCTGTCTAAAGAGAAGCCGGAGGAATACGCTAAGGATTGGACATGAATTTCATTCCCGAATAACTTAACTGTGCACACGGGCCGTACCGGCGGGAAGGACCCCCGACTTTCCTGCGCTGTCAGGAACAGGCTGCCCACCCCATCTGGTGAGCCACAGGGCGAGGGGAGCTGGCATTTCTTCTCAAACCCCGTGCTCAAGGTTAGTCCAGCGAGCCTGCTGCTTCCCAGGATGCAGCTCCAAACTTGAGCAACAAACCCGAAACCCACAGGCCCTCCTCCCAAGGAGCGGCACTGTTCGCTCTTCGGGGGCTGCTAGGTGTGAGTGGGGTCAAGAGAGGTATAAACAGGTGCGTGTGGGCCCAGGAAGGGCATGTGGCCACACAGATGGCTCTAAGCTCCATGACCCCAGAGCCCTGAAAAGCCGTGTCATGCACTGAGCTGTGGCACCTCCGTGGCTCTGTGTGTCCATCCAGAGGGGACACTCACTCTCGGCAGCTGTTCACCCGGGTGTTACTAGATGGTTCCTTTGACACAGCAACCTCATGCCCCGGGGCTGCAGCGCTACCCTGCCCTGCCTCGGGGTGGCCGTGGGGCTGTACTTACTGGCTTGCACATTTCTCGGTCGGTTTTCGCTTCCATCTCCCAGACATGGTGGCCATCTGGAAAGATCGTGATGAAAAGATCTGTTACTTGGTGTGGACTGAGACTGGTTGTCTGTCTCCCACATCTTATGGGAGCTCCAGGGAGCCCCGCCTCCAGCTTCTGTGGAGGCCGAACTGCCCAGGGGTCAGGGCAGTCGCTTGTGCGAGCCCAGAGGGAGCTGAGGCACCAGGACCTCAGGAGAGCCCCCTGCCTGCACTGCCAGCACCTTGCCAGGCCCAGCGTGGACCCTGAGGCCCCTCACCAGCCTCCCTGGGCTCAGTGTGCTTCCCCCGCAGACAGGACACAGAAGGTGGCCTCCGGGCCTGGCACATCTGCACACAGGGGCGTGTCTAATGGCCTGGGGCCCAGGAGCCGCAGCATCACCCCCACCGGACAAACACCCACGTGGCTGCCCGCAGAGGGGACTCAGAGGAAGCCCAGTCGCACCTCAGGGCTCATCGGTGCAAAACACTAGGTATTTTTAACTCCACCCCCGTGGCCATGTGCATGTTTTTAAAGGGCCTGTGAAAGGAGGCCTTGTTTCCAGGACAAGGCTACTTGGCAGGGCCCCCCTGCGGCCAGCAGGGGCTGCTTGGGGACGAGTTGTGGGAAGGCACCCTGGACCAGAAGATGTTGGTTACTGAGGGGGCCTCTCCCCTTGGGGTGCTTGGTCTTCTGCAGTCAGGAGCGGCGTGGTTTTCAGAGAGGTGTCTGCCCGTGACAAAGCCTCAGCTAGAGGGACGTGGACTCACAGACACCCTGCAGGGGCTCTGAGGCTGTCACCCTTCCCGGGAGTGGACGGCCTCCCTTCCTCCCACAGGGTGGCCAGGTGGGTTTGAACAGCTGGCCAGTGGTGAGCAGCCCCACGCCAGCCCACAACGCCAGGTGCTTGATCACAGGCTTGTTGTTCTGCATGTCAGCAGGCACTGAGCACAGCTCCCCACGACCAGGGCTGTGCAAAGGTCCCATGAAAGCAGGGTTCCCAAGCCCAAGAAGGGGTGTCAGAGAAATGTCAGCCCTCAGGGTCCTCCTGCACCGCTTACTGGACACTCCCAATGGCCTGGGGTGTGTCCACTCTGCTTACAGGAGTCAAAGCTACCATGGAGCTAGTCTCATACATTCCCCAAACCTTCTACTTAAAACACTAACAAACTTGGGGAGTTTATGACAGCAAAGCAGCCCTTGTACCCCACCTACCGCCGAGGCTCCACAGGAAAGTTGGAGGTGGGGGGAGCATCTCGATGGCCACCTAGACTGGCCACGCTGGTCTCCACTGGCTCACGCTGTCAGAAGGGCCCTGCCCACAGAAAAGGCATGGGGAGGCAGCGGGCAGGGGCCGGTGGTGTTCGGGGGGGCCTCAGAGGGGCCTCTGCTGGGGGGTGGGAGCCATGCCAGGTTGTGCAGGATCGCAGGGGGCAGGCACATGAACTAAAGGCAGGGTTGGAGCCCTTGCAGGGACCTGTCTGTGAGGAGAGGGGCCCACACAGGGTCCTGGGGTCCCAGGAGAGCACCAAGCACAGACAGACGGCTGCAGTGAGTAGGACACATCTGCACGGAGGTGCCTGCTGGCCGGTCACCAACAAAAGCACTGGAAGCCGCGCAAGGCTCTGCCCCAGGCACACAGCTCCGATCTCAGACACAACAGGCCAGCAGGCGCCCTGCAGGCCCTCAGTGGCTCCGCTCCTGCAGCCCCTGGCACCCAGCGACAGTCCCACCCTCTCTGGCCAGCCCCAGCCAGGGGGACGCTGGCCCGAATGGCCCTTGGCCTTGGGGTGCTTGTGACCGCTGCAGAGCACCTGGGAGGCAGGCATCTCCAGTCTTGTGCTACTTCTGAGCACGATTGTGGTCAGTCCTAGGCCCTGATGCCTGGCTCAGGAGCTACCCGCTCGCCCAGGCCCCGCAGGCAGGGAGAGACGCCCGGCCAGGAAGGGCGGTGGCAGCTGAATGTGCCTTTGTGTTCGGTCTTATCGGCTCCTGGACTCCTCGCTAGGAAACTGCGCGGCAGCCAGAGCAAAAATATTCCAGATCATGAGGGAATTCCCTGTGGGTGAGTCACAGGAAAGGCTTCCCCGCCACACCCAGGGAGGTTTCCACGACGACAGGGCTGTGGACCCGCTCCAGCAGCCACAATGCCAGGCGGCCTTGCTCCATTTCAGGGGTGGAGGGGCAGGGGGAGGGCAAAGGCCCACCCCAGCAGAAGGCTGGTGACTGCCACCCCCCTGGGGGCCAGCCTTGTTTGCAGAGGTCAGAGGTGTGTGAATGACTGGGCCCAGGAGGAGAAGGCGACTGGGCATAGACCCACTGAAAAGCCACAACTCACGGGCATCCATCCCTTGGACCCCAGCCCTCACTTCCCCACCCCCTCAGGCCTGCTGGTACCCAGGCTTCTCTGTCTCTCCTTCCCCTCCCTGCTAGACTCCGCCCCCTCCAGTGCAGGCTGCTCCCAGGGCAAACCGGAGTGATGCTGAGCCAGGTCCTCACTGGGCTGCTGTCAGGGGCTCCAGATGGGAGGGACCCGGGGGCCTGGGGCTCGGGGGACTGCTGCAGAGAGGTCAGGTCCCCCACTTTCAGGTCTCCCTCATCAGCTGGCTGGCAGAGGCACACATGTTCCACCTCCACCTACCTGGAGCAGCTGCTCTGCGGAGACGGCATCAAAAGCACGTGAGATGAGTCCCACCCTCTGTCACCACAAAAGGGGCATTCCCACGGTGCTTGTCCAAACCTGGGTCTGCTGGTTCTTCTGGTGCCTGTGGCACATTCACCGGCACCGCATTCTTCACCAACACAACTCAAGGCAGCTCTTCTTCAGTCTACTTCCTGACTCGATTTGCTCTTACCCGATTCTGCGCTGCCCAGTGCGGTACAGGCTTTGGTCCCTGGCTGCTGTGCCCCGGCCTTCATTGTGGAGTCACGGGAAACAAACACCTGCCAGTCCTTTCTCTGTGTGCCATGATGCCGCTTCTCAGTCCAGGTGAGAGGTTTACTTGCTGCTGTCGAGATGCCATCCAGACGAAGGCTGTGGTCTTTGAACTTCGTCAGTCTCGGCTTCCAGGCCTCTTCGCCGTTGGCAAGCAAGACTGTGTCCTCTGCATCACAGGTTACTACCTCTTGTGACCTTGATGCTATTTTATCTTCCTACCGCCCGTAGTCTTGGAGGACATGCCCAGCATAATTCTGCATAAGCCCACTGAGGGGTGAAGAAGAGAACTGACCCGCAGTCTCACACCTAGGTCTTTCCTCCAAAGAAAGGGGAGCGGGCTCAAAGAGGAAAGTACACAAGCGCTCCGTCCAGCACTACTCCTGCAGAGGGGCTGACCTGAGCGTCCCTCACCTGGGGAACGACAAACATGCTGGTGTAAAATCACCACGAAGTGTTACTCAGCCATGAGACAGCTCTGGGCCACCACGTGGAAGGGCAGGCTACATCACTAAGAGCCCCCGCCCCGACTGCCCACAAAGTGGGTACTGCTTCATCCACAGCACACTGCTGGGCGTGGTGGCTGCAGTGGAAACCAACGCAGGTCTCATTCAGTCTGAGAATCTCACAATCAGGCCGCCAGAAGACTTAGCAAAAAGTTGCTCTCAGAGCTGGCAGATGCTCCACGTGATGGAAGCTCACGATTGTTCACCTTCTCTGAGCGTGGGCGAGGGGAGACACCTCGCTCAGAGAGAGGTGTGCAGGCACACTCACCAGCACAGCCAGGTTCCAAAGACTGGCTCCTTGAGCACAGTGTTGGCATTAGAGGGTGGGCATGGGGGAAGGAAAGAGAGTGAGAGGGAAATAGTTGACAAATGAAAAAGGACTACCACCATGGAAGAGATGAAAAAGAAAGGACATGTTTTACGTTCATGGTTGCCAAGTTGGACACAGCAACCCCGAGCTTGCTGCAGTCCACTCGCTGTGCCCTGGGAGGGGGTAGAACGCCCCCGCCCCCCTCGTGCATTCCTGAGACGGTAAAGTCCTCCGAGGGTGGAGGGCCTCCTGGAGCAGCTGGGAGCTTCACCGTTCGTAGCTGGTATTGACCAAAATAATGCTCTTTTAGGCTGTTGGCTGTCACAACGTCATGACAGACTCTGGCTCAGGAAACCTCTACTTTAATTATCTTCAATGTATTGTAAGCAATAAAACTAAATGGGTTTTAAAAACCGGCACCAAGAAAACGGAGGATGATGACACCAGGTTACACCATGGAGATGGTGGCACCATGGCAGGCTATGAAATGACCTCGCTGCACAGCTGCTCAACCACTGAGGACTGTAGCGTCGCACCTTGGCAAGTGGCTTGGACCCTCTTCGCCAGTGTTACTCGTGTCTCACACCTCGGCCTTCATTACTGCCACACACATGCTGTCCGTGGGCAGAACAGCAGGTGTTTCGCTATTGGGGCCAACGCAGCAGGTTGCGTGAGGAGACAGTGACTGGTAGATGAGCAGTGTGTGTATTTCATTTATGTGGGAGGTGAGGGTGCTTCTCAGATCCACCAGCATCTCACAAGGCAAGGCCTGCACAGGCATGTGCAGATGGGTACACGCGTGTGCCAACAAGGGGCCTCCCAGACACAGACCAGGGAAAGTGCATCTGGACTCAGCGCCGACCGACCCACGGTGTGGGTGGTGCCAGGCCCCCTCAGGACAGACCTTCTTCTCCACAAACAGTCCACACACGTTCCAGTCAGTCAGCAGGGACGTGGTCTCCCCCATTCCAGGACAGGCTACCCCACACCCCACCTTTCACCTGCCATCTTGTTGGGGGCACAAACAGAGTTGGAGCACACCTGTGGCTCCTCCTCAGACAGCCCACCCCTCACAACCACAGCCAAAGCCACAGCTGGCCCTTCCAGAGTCCCGTCCAGGCCCCGGAATAATGCTGAGTACAGTCCTTCCAGAGGTCCCGATTCAGGCCTGAGTACACTGGCCACAGCCTTTCTGATGGTCCTGCCTCAGGCCGCGGGCCTCAGGCCGCTAACCATGGTCTTTTCAGGGACCCTTTCCAGGCACCAGGACATTGCTGTTCACTGAGGGCAGAGTAGGAGGGGTGAATGAGTACGGGCACCACCCTCGCCTGGCAAGTCCCAGCTCCTTCCTCGGGGACCCCTCTATCTGAGTCACCAGGAGAGAAAACAAACGGAGTGGCCCTGGGGAGGAGGCCAGTACTCAGCACAGTGGCCCAGAGTAGAAGGAGCCTCTGCTCGAGAAACTTCTCACCACGTCCAGCACCAATGACCCTTAGGCCCTGACTGAGCAAGGCTCGCACACAACAAGTAGAATAGGGCCCTGTGGGCCGGATGTCCTGCACCCGGGAGGTGTGGGGGGGCTTCCACTGCTCGGTGGGATGGGCTTTCTGCATCTGACGGGGAGGAGGTGTCCACTGCCCTGTGAGGTGGCATCTTGTGTCCAGGTGGGAGACGTCACTGCCCTGTGGGCTGGGCGTCCTGCGTCCAGGCACAGGAGGAGGCTCCCTGTCAGGTGGGCTGAGGCACTGCTCGGTCAGTGAGAACTATCGACACCCACGTGTTTGTACAGAGGGAGCCGGCCTGCGGTGGAGCCTGTGTGCTGGGGGCTCCCGGGAGTGTCTTGGGCTCGTGGTGGCCCAGTACACAGATAGGCATGGCCTGGCCCTGCACTGAGTCCACAGTTGATGGCAATTCAGGGGTCCTCGGGTTCCCTGGTCCTGCACTGTCCTTCTCTGGAGACTGGTCTTTCTCCATGGGGTTGGCATGGGAGTGGCAGGTCACAGACCCAGTGTGGCCTCTCGGGCAGCAGGGGAAGACAGGCCAGCACCACTTGGCTGAGCAGGATGGCAGAATGGCAGGGCCAGTGGAGTCCTGCATTGGGAGGCTGTGGTTGGCACCCCAGGCAGACCAAGAACCCTGCCGAGGCTGGCAGCCCCACTCCAGAGCCCACCCTGCCCCCGCAGGAGACCCTGAAGCTGGGAGCAAACCGTGAGGAGGTATTGGGAACTGCCCCTCGCTTCCCCGGCCCCTCCTCCACCACTTCCCGGCTTGTTTGCACAGTGGGGCATGTGGTGCAACCCCCAGAGGGGAGGATTGTGCAGTGGCCGTGGAGGTGTGCCTGCCTCTGATTGAAATGCCTCCCAAATGGCTCAGAATCACGGCCCATTATGCGGCTGCCACCACCGTGGTGCTGATTCGGGTGGAGAGCGGCACCGCCGAGCGCGCGGCTCCACCAGAAAACAGGAAGCAGGAAGGAGGCCAGCAGCTCCCACTGCTGGAGAGACCCCGGACCTCGGACCTTGGACCCCAGATGCCCGGTCCCCCAGCCCCTCGGGCACAGCCGAGGACAGCTCCTGTGGGGTCACGTCCACCTACTCATGGACTTCACTCAAACGACCAATCTGACAGCGCAGCCTCGGCGGCCTCCACCCCCTTTGTCTTCGGGGCCCTCTAAGGAGGGATGCCCTCCCTGCACACAGCCGCTCTCCAGGGGTGGCCTGTAGGAGTGTGCTGGGGTGCCCCATCCGGGCTGGGGAGGGGCCACAGGGCGGTGGGGAAGAGGCTGAGGAACAAAGAGTGGGGGCAGAGGACACCAAACCCTCCTGTCTCGGCCCCTTGGAAGCAGCAGGGCCTCTGCTGGCTCTGGGCCAGGGTGCCCACTGAGGTGCCAGGCTGCACACATGACCCAACGGGGCCTGAGAGTCCCCCCCTTCCCCCCTCCCCCGCCACACACACACCTGTCCTGCGGGGCTCACCTGGCGCTTTCTCCACAAAGATGACCTTGGAGTCCTGCAGGAAGTTGTGCCCCGACAGCACCATCTTTGAGCCGCCCACCACGAGGTAGCTGTCGGTGCTCTGCTTCTCCACCAGGGGCAGCTCCTGCGCCGACCGCTGGGCTGGGGGCGGGAGGGGAAGGACCGGGTGGGAGTCACATGAGGGACCAGGTGGGGCACGGAGGTGTCACCACAACTGTGGGGGCAGTGGGGGTGCGAGACAGTGTGAGAACAACTGTGGTCGCGGCCCAAGGTCGTGGTGACACTCCTGGGGACCCCAAGTGGGCACACAGGCCCTGGCCACATCCTAAGCATGATGCCCACCTATCCTCATGGGACTGTCATCGGTGCCACCATCCTGCCCTCCAGCCTGGAGGCTTCAGAATTATTCTCAAGAAATGGCCCAAGCATGAGGGGGCATCAGGGGCTGGTGGGAAACGGAATGAAGACCCCGGAGTCCCCACCAGCTTCTGAGCCCTGCACAGTCTCTGGATAAAACGTGCGCCTGTGTTCTCTGTGCCCAAGCCATGGAGAGTGTGCGCCCGTCAACACCAGCTCCCTGTTCTCTCCACAGGCCCGAGCTGGTGGCACCATCCCAAGGCCTGCATGGTGGGGACCCCTGCAGGGGGGGCATCAGGACTCACAGCATTCGATGGGGCTGGACGCAACCTGCAGGGACAAGGTCCGGCCGCCGGGCTGCGGGATGTGGACGCGGAAGACCAGCCTCACTCGGGTGTTCTTCCTGCCGATGTCCGTCTCCCCTTTCCGAAGCTCGATGTCCGAGTTCCTGAGCTTCAGGATCCCCGCACAGTCGATGCTGTGAGACCACATGCCCCGTCACTGTGTGCGGTGTGAGCCCCCTGTCCCACACTGCCCTCCTTAGACAGGCCCTCCCGAGCCCTGCCCTCTTCCCCCGCCCCCACCCCTGCGGGTTCCCGGGACAGAGTGGTGCCGGCTTACATGGCCCGCATGTTGTTCTCAGGCAGCAGCAGGATCTCCAGGACCTTGGTGTTGGAGAGGACGGTCTCGTGGCTGGTGGTGGAGACGGTCTTCCCTGTGATGCGGTGGACCTGGTAGAAGGCGTGGGGCCTCAGCAGGCGGTCGTCCGCGGTCCCGATGAACAGCTGGAGCGTGAGAGGCTCGCTTTCCAGGTAACCGTGTAGCTGGCGAGAGAACCAAGGACCCTGAGCACCACACCCAGGCCAGAGTGCTCGGCCGGCCTCCACTCATGCCCCCCCCTCCCGCCCCCCCACCCCGGCATCATGCTGGGGACAGAACGAGCACTCAGAGGATACCTCATTGGGCCTGCAGCCCGGGACCTGGTCAGGGGCAGGGCTTGAATGGGTGTGAGGGCACCCACAGGCCCGCCTGCACCCCCTCGTTGCTGTGCCGTCTCCCCAGCAGGAGAGCAGGCACCATGTGACAGCCACGCCGCCCTGCCTCCATGCTCACCGGGCACAACCTCAGGCTCGGGCCTCCTGCCTGGCCCCCAAGTGTCTCCCCTCCCCTCCCTCCTGGCCACTGGATGCCCCCGCCCCCCACTTCCATCAACACTGGGCAGCCCTGCGGCTAGAGCAGGGACTCGTCCCGATGAGCTTGCTCCTGGCTGGCAAAAGACTAGCTGGTTAGACTGGGTCCAAGGAGATAGGCCACTGGTCCCAGCCCCACTGGTCCTCAGAGGGGGCCCAGGCACCAGGGGCACTTTCTCAGGACATCTGCCACAGGACAGTTCCGGCCAGCAGCGCCCAGATGACCAGAGTCTCTTGCCGGTGCCCACTTCAGTAATGAATAATTCACTGCCCTCGTTCCGGATGGTCTGTGTATCAGGTGCCAGCTGCGTGGTCACCGGCCTGTCTGTGGAGGGCCCTGGGAACCCATACAGCAGACAGAACCACTGCAGCCTACCCCAAAGGACCGGGCAGGCAAGCTTGCCTTCTTAGTGACTTTCCAGGGCCGGGGTTGCAGCTCATGGCTGGCCTGGTGTCTGGGATTTTGAGGGCAGTTCTCTGTCCCTGGTCAATATTTAAAGGTCAGTGTTTGTCTTGGCCTCAGAGAGGCCAGCAGAGTTGTGTGCAGTTGACCCGGGGTGGAGGGTGGGGGTGCAAGGTGGAATGCCCGACCCTGGGGGTGGGGAGGGGGTGGGCGACCCACACAGCCTGGGCAGGACAAGGCATCCACAACGTCCACACACCCACATCCACGAGGCCTCCAGG